ATACTGAGATCGATACTGAGACCGATCGAGTGAGACGTTGGTTCCCCCCCCGAACCTCCTTATCACCCGAAGGGTGGTCGTATAGGTATATACAAATTGCGCCGCATCGGCACCACATAGTTGCACCGCGAAGTTTGCGCCGCATAGTTTGCTACGCCAGATTGCACCACATAGTTTTTACCACACATATTCCTTCTCCCGACAGAGAAACAAGACTTTACCCCTCCATGCCAGGGTCCCCTTGCGCATGTTTTGAAAGTTCTATTCTGCACGAAAATTCATCGTACGTAGCAAAGGGTATCCTTCCAGACAACCCGGTATCAACCATCCCCGTCTCATTTGTGCGAATCTTTATCAACTACTATCATGCGGGCCGTATGCGCGCGACGATTTGCTTTGGGAGAGCTCGTCATCAGCTTCTTAAAACCACATGGTTTTGAATGCACATTCTTCCAGGATTTCAATATCTCCGCGCACACTTCCTCATTCAGCCTCATCTTTCTCCCATCAGCACCGTCGCACCGCCACCTTCATCGTCATCGCCAACGTCATCACCGCCACTGTCACCACATCACCTATCACCTTCATCACCATCATCATGAGCATCGTCTTCATCGTCGTTGGTACCACCATCGCCATCGTCATGCTTGCTATCGTCGCCATCGTCTACCATCACTACTATCATCATCATTGTCGTCGTCGCCGCTGCCGTCGTCATCAGGATCCCACGCCCGTCTGAGTCGCGGATACGCCTGGAAAGTGTTCACTCGCCAGTGCGGTTTTTGAGATTTGCAAGCGAGTCCCAAGCAGTAACCGCAATCGTCTGCGTCCACACCTTTTACGTATCTGAATCTCATCATTTCCCATCGCCGTCATCACCATCGCCATCATCATCATCGTCACCATCATCATCACCAACATCACCACCGTCATCATCATCGTCATCAGCATCATCATCTTACCCCATCATCATCACCACCACCATCATCATCATCATCATCAACATCATCGTCATCATCATCACCACCATCACCATCACCATCACCATCACCATCACCATCATCTTCATCATCATCACCACCATCATCATCACCATCATCACCGCCACCATCATCAGCATTATCATCAACATCACGATTAGGACCATCATCATCACCATCATTATTATTACCATCATCATCAGCAACATCATCATCATCAATAGACCTCATCATCGTCATCATCATCATATTTAGCATCATCATCATCGTCGTCGTCAGCATCATCAACAACGTCATCATCATCATCATCATCATCATCATCATCATCATCATCATCATCATCATCATCATCATCATCATCTTCATCTTCATCTTCATCTTCATCTTCATCTTCATCTTCATCTTCATCTTCATCATCATCACCGTCAGTGGCGTAGCCTTCGTCATCATCGCTATCACCGTCTCGTGTTCTGCATAATGGATTTCGTCTGCGCATTTAGGGTCCACGCGCCCGTGCTGCTGTTGAAATTATGGCAATCTGAGGTTTGCCAACAAGAGCGTGCGGCCGTATTTTGGCGCTCACCGCTGCTGGCCGCCAGTCGTTGCCCTGGCCAGTGCTGAGTATTATGGCTCTCGAGCGTGGCGGCTTTGCGCGAGAGCAGCCGAGCGGAATGTCTTGTGTCATGGTGCGATGGGCAGAACAGAGATAGCCAGATATCTGGACTGCTTGCGCAGACTCCGCCCCGCCTGCAGTCATCAATGGTCGGTAGGACCATGGGGGGACGCCCGCACAATGCCATTGCCCCTTCCGCCTTCCTTCTCCTGCTCCTCCTCCTTCTCCTCGCCTCTTGTCTCACTTTCCCCCTTCAGCCCGAGTCTGGGGGATATTGCAGATTTTTTGCCCTCGTTGCCTCATCCCGCGCACGACGCTTAGCGGCCATACCCACATCCCTCACCCTCGCATCTCGGCCACACCCGCAGGACAGCGTGATACTCATCGATGCTTAATCCTATATCGCCACCGCGTCCGCTGGCGAACAATAGCATCGACATGAGTTTTACCAACAAGTTCCGGGTGGGAGGGTGGGATGTTTGCGCGAGCATTGGAGTTAGCGTTTTCCTTTCCTTCAGCGAATGTTATCCAAAATATTGCGCCCCACCGAGTGCACATCGAGAGTGCAAGAACTCATTGTTCGGCCTCCACGCTGGCAAACGTGCTTTTGCCCGCCAAGGTTTAGGTCATTCAGCACGCGCCCCTGGGAGTCTCGCTAGAAGCTCGTCCAGGGTATCGCCGCAAAGCATTTCTGGGCACTTCCCCGTCACCTTGGCTGCGTCATGGGGAGTAGTTGGTTGTTCCAAATTTCGTTGCCATAGGCGTACCATGAGCTGACAACTAGCCCAAACTTTCGACCTCGAGGTTCAGATCTCACAAGGGCTTTAGGCATAAGATGTCTGAAGCATCTTCCCGCTCGAGCGAGGGCGCCCTCCCATGCTCCAACGACTAGCACTCAAATTTATTGCGAGCCACCGAGTCGAGGCGCGAGTCCAGCCTCCGTATAGGTTCAAGGGTTAGTTGTTCGGTCAGCGTGGTCAGGCCTCCTCCTCCTCCTCCTCCTCCTCCTCCTCCTCCTCCTCGTCCTCCTCCCACCGCCTCCAGGTGCACGCGTTCGTCATGGAAGCTTCTGAGATCTGTCTGTGACCAGCCTGAGGGTTCGAGCCCGTCCCCTCGGCAGGCGCACAAAAGGGCTCCGCCTTCTCACCTCCCTCACCACTTTCTTACCTCCCCGTCCCCTAGGAGGAGCGCCGACGGTGGCGATGGGGACGACGAGATCCCTCCTACGGCGCTTTCTAACCAGAATTCCGTGCGGAATCCAGCAGTGCCGACGGACTTTCTGGGAGGCCCAGAAAGGCCCAAAACTTCCGAAGACCTCGAGCATCGATCCTCGCTCCTCGACGACGGCGGCGGCGGCTGCACCTCCAGTGGTCTCCCGAGGCCTCTGGAGGCGCCCTGCAGGCCTCCCGAAGGAGGGCATCCGAGGGGGGCTGCGGCGGCGGCGGGAGGCCACAGCTGGTGCGCACGCGCGCCCGGCGGCGCCAAAGCCTGCGTCGCCCGCGGCGCGAGCTGCGCTAGGCGCCCAGCGGTGGGGGCGCGCTCCGGCGCGTGTGAGGTGGGTTGGAGGCAGTGCCACCGAGACGGGTGCCCAGTGCCGGGTCCTTCGGCAGCGTGCAGGAGGGGACAGGAAAGTGGCAGGAACGTGTGCCATTTTCGCGCGCGGTGTGGTGCAGGAAGGCGGCAGCCAAGTTCCCGTCTATTGAGTGCCCGCCAGGGTGGCGCAGAGGAGGGTTTGGGGGTTATGGGTTCGGATGTCAGGGTCAGGTCGCCATCGTGCACACAGGTCCCGACGAAACGGGTCCTGGTTTGATTCGGCCGCTTTCTGGCTCCAGGGGCCCTCGACGGACCCCAGAACCGTAAAACAACGACTCAGGATGAAACGCTGGTCCCGGGGGGCAGCCCCAGATTCCAGGACCCCGCTTGCCTCAGGACCTGCTTGTGTCGGGGGAGCGTAAGACCCGGGTTTGCCGGGACTCGGGTTCGCCATCGTTTTTTGACGACCGCGACTCGGATTTTGACGAGGAGGAGTTTCGTGGGATGTTTGCAGCGGGAGGCCTCGTCAAAATGCAGGCTCGGCCTCGTCATTTTTTTGACGACCTCGTCGGGGATTTCCGAGCCCCCCGTAACCGGGTCTTACGTCTCCCCGAATGTGTCATAGACACCCAGGGGTGTGTCAGGTTTCGTGCCAGAGTTAGGGTTCGTGCCCAGGGTCGGAGTGGAGGGCCAGGAGGGGGCGGCCGCCGCCGCCGCGGCGAAAAGCGTCGGAGCTGCACGGGGCGGCGGGCACGCGCCGCGCCCGGCGGCAGCGAGCGGTCCAAGACCTTCAGGGCGCCCGTGGCTTTCTCTCAGCCCTGGTGTCGGCCGATGTCAACTCGTTCCCTGCCATCGGAGAGCCGCGATCGTTCAAGACTGAACGATTCAGACGGTACACTCTAGGCGATGCTTAAGAAAACTCAAGTTTTCGGCCAGAGTCTCGAGTATTCTCAAAGTTTCAATGTAAATCCCAAGATGTGAATAGACATTCTGGGTTTTGATTCAAATTCTGAGACTATCAATTTCTTAACCCATGATTTCTAAAGCATTTCGCAGGGTGTACCAGAAGCCAGCGTCAACGTGAAACCTTGAAATTGCACACGGCGCTCGGGCGCCGCCTTCAACCTTGGTCGGCTTCCACCAGATGGAAATGCTGTGGTCTGCGTCTCGGTGGAGTGCGCCGCTTTCGGCCTCAGGTCTGGGGCCCCTTGAGTCACGTGTGGTCCCCACTTTCACCCCTGCGAGCAAGCGCGATTCGCTCGAACCTGTTACCTGGCACACGAAGCGCACGGCTCACGCAGGGGCAGCAGACGAAGTTTTACATTCGCTTTGTAGAGTGGGATGTGTTCGATCCTGCGCATCCAGGCTACACCTTAGGCGATGCTTAAGAAAACTTAAGTTTTCGGCCAGAGTCTCGATTATTCTTAATGTTCCAATGTAAATCTTAAGATGTTAATAGAACTGTTGGGTTTTTATTCAAGTTCTGAGACTATGAATTTCTTAACCCATGATTTCTTAAGCATTTCGCAGGGTGTACACTTTGGGCGTTCCAGGCAAAGCCTCGTCAGCGAGGCGTCGGGAAGCTGACCTCTCGCCCTCCGCGGAGAGCGACGGAAGGCCGGCGGACGCCGGCGGACAACAGAGCGGAGGCGGTGCCGCTGGCGGAAGCTGGGAGGAAGCCAGTCACCACCCACCAAACCACCCCAACCCAACCCGAAGGCTCAGATTTATCCTCGATTTCCAGTGGGGGGGGTGTCGGGAAACATCGAGAAAACACGTATGGAACCCGTACCCCCCCCAACCCGAAATTCGGGTCTTCGGGTTGGGTTGGGGTGGTCTGGTAGGTAGTCAGCCAGCCGAAGCAAAGAGCACCACCTCCCCCGCTCAGAGACGTCACTTGGGGTTCAAGGTTTCCGGAGCGGGCCATTCATTAGCAGGACGCGTTCAAGCGGCACGTATGGCCGCCAGCGCACGGAGCGCGTGCAGAGCGGGTCCGTCGCCGGTTTGGCTCGCGCAGCGGCGTTGGTCCAGCGGTGTGTCCTGCAGTGTCCCACCCGCCCGCGCACGCGAGAGCGATGTGGCCCCGATTCGCCCGCGCCGCCGCCGCTCCGGCCTGCCGCCTCGCGGCTGCGCCCGCGGCGCGGGGCTCGCCGTTTGGCACCCGCAGGCTGACTGTCGCGGCGGCAGGCGCCACGGCCACCGTGGCAGCAGGATGGTCGATGGGGCAGCCTGGAGGCCAGGCGGCGTCCTGTGAGGCGGCCGTCGATTGGGAGGCCGTGAGGAAGGAGGTCGTGAAGCTCATGGACGATGACAAGTACCAGGACTCGTCTTACGACGGGGCCAACCCGGGGCCCCTCTTCCTCCGTCTTGCTTGGCACTCCGCTGGCACCTTCTGCAAGCACACTGGCACCGGTGGCTCAGTCGGTGCGACGATGCGCTTCGAGCCCGAGGTCTCTTGGGGTGCCAATGCGGGCCTGAAATACGCGCAGGACCTTCTCGAACCTATCAAGCAGAAGTTCCCTCAGGTCTCGTATGCCGACCTTTGGATCTTCGCAGCCACTGTCGCCATCGAGGAGATGGGTGGCCCCAAGATGACCTTCAACCCAGGCCGCAAGGACAAGGCCAGCGGCAAAGAGTGCCCAGTGTGGGAGGGCAAGACCCACAAGGACGGCAGGTTGCCGGGTGCCGATGCGGGCAGCCCTGACAAGACAGCTGCACACTTGCGCTACATCTTCAACCGTATGGGCTTCGACGACAGGGAGATCGTGGCGCTCAGCGGAGCGCATGGCCTCGGCGCGTGCCACACAGATCGCTCGGGCTTCTGGGGCCCTTGGACACGGGCACCGACGACCGTGAGTAACGAGTACTACCGCGAGCTCTTGGAGAACAAGTGGACCATCAAGACCACGCACAAGGGCAAGCCGTGGTCGGGGCCGATGCAGTTCGAGGACCCAACGGGTGACCTCATGATGCTCCCATCGGACATTGTGCTCATCCAGGACAAGGAGTTCCGCAAGTACGTGGAGCTTTACGCCAAGGATTCGGATACCTTCATGAAGGACTTCGGTGCCGTCGTTGGGAAGCTCTTCGACTTGGGGCACAAGGCTCCTAAGAAGGGGTTCTTCTCTTGAGCGCGGCCGCAGCGATGCCATGAGGAGGTTGGAGGGTACCCATTTACAGCGCCCTCAGAGGGCGGGAATGTACCCACATCCAACGCTCCGCCAGCTCCTCGGCGGCACCTCTTCCATTCGGCGGATATGAACGAATCGCTGGTGTGGAGATGAGGTCCGTCGGATGAGATTGGTCAGACCGTGACATAGCGTCATGTCGTTACAGGTTTCCTGCCACTTCGTTCTAATTTTTAGGTCTTTAACATATCTTGCCGCTGACATGTGGTTTGTGGCGAGGTTTTCTGATTGTTTATTGCTAGGTGGAACAGCAGCCGACCAGCAACCATGAATAAGCAGCGTCCTATCTGCGAAGAGGAGGATCCAGATGAGATTTCTAGCCTGTGCCCGGGGGTCGGCAGACTGACGCAGAGTCCCAAATGCCTTTCTCGAAAGTAGATGCCCAAAGGAGGACGGGAGGAGGAGGAGGAGGAGGAGGAGGAGGAGGAGGAGGAGGAGGAGGAGGAGGAGGAGGAGGAGGAGGAGGAGGAGGAGGAGGAGGAGGAGGCACACAACGACATCTATTCCTAGGTTGTGGCAGGTGCCATGCTCTGTGTGTGTGTGTATCTTTCTCTTTCTCTCTCTCCCTTTCATCTCCGCTCGCGTTATGAACCTGTCCGTTAAACTACATCGACACTTTGCCGTTGCGGGTTTGGAAGGTCCCCTTGCTCCGAGGCCTCAAACACCACCCGCTCGAGCTGGGGAGACCCAGGGAACACCAAAGACGGCTTCACGGGCCTCCCGGAGGAGCCTCTGACCACCCAAGAAGCCCCAAGACGGCCCCAAACGCTTCTGAATGGCCCCGATGCCACATGGTGGCTCCATGGAGTCACAATACGGCTCCGAGTAGGGCCCTTGACAACGAAGCACCGTCAAACCTGCTTTGATACGTTTTTGAGACTCACCGCTTTCAGCTCAGGGCGGCTCAAACATGGTTCCAGATACGTTCAAGAGAGCTCCAGTGGTCCACAAGAGTCCCGAACCAGGCTCTCGATGCCCTCAATGTGGCTCGCAGTGGCTTCTAAGCTTTTGAGATGGCCCCAAGACTGCTCCAAGGCTGCCCAATACCTCCCCAAGATGGCATCGGCTCCAATATCCACCTAGACGGCCCCCAGACCCCCACAAAGATTCCGCGAGGCCCCAAGGGACCCGACAGCGACCCGCAGATGCCCTCAGAAGGCCCTGAGAGAGCCCGAGTGTCCCAGAAGACACCAACATAGCCCCAAGAGAGCCCCCCGCAAAGGACAAGCCAGCGATGTCGTGCCCTCTTCTTAGTAAAGTCGCCGTCAGTTTGCCCGTGTGATTTCCCGGTGCCTGATCTGTCGAAGTGCGCATCAGAGATTCGTAGTCACTGCTCTTCTGCACCCGACGGTACACCTGACCGAATGCTGTGCGGACCGCCCGTTCGCCTTGCCGGTCTGTCGGTCGGTGTCTCCGAGCGCGTGCATCGCCGTGCTTCGCTTCGCGCCGCTTCGTGAGTTTCGTCCACGGGCTCGCCCAAGCTGCGCGGGTCCTGGCCCGCTGCCGACATGTGGCCCCTCCCCTGTCCATGGGTAGGCTCCCCCCTTTGGGCCTCCCCAGGAGGCTCCCCGAGTACCCCAGGCGGCCCAAGTGCACCCCAAGATATTCCACGAGGGCTTCAGACGATTTGGGTAGAGCCCATGGGGGCCCAGATCACCCCACGATCGCCTCAGCAGAGGCAGACCCGTTGAGGCCAAAGCTCGTGAACATAGCTTGAACCGCGACCCTTGTACCTCGATCCTCGACTCTCGGTCCTCTTTCTTTGGCAGGACGCCAACTGCAGTTATCCTGGCTGGGCCCATCCTGGGCCCTGTGTGTGTGTGTGTGCATTCTCCCCCCCTTCCCGCCGTCTTGCGTCGCTCCTCTGCTCTCTCGCTGCCCGTCCCTCGGGCTGTCGCCCAGGTTCTAGTCCTCCCTTCCCTGGCCGTCGGGCCGGTGCTGTCGCTCCCCGCTGCTCCCTCCCCCGGCTTCGGGCTCGCCCTGGTCCCCAGGTGTTGCCCCCTCCCCTGTTGCACTCCCAGGTCGTCTACCCTGGCGCAGGCGCTACTGTTTCGTGGGGGCGGAAGAAGCACAGGAGAGACCACAATCGAATCGATAAGTCGGATCGGCGATCGAAATACATCGGATCGGCGGAGGTCGGCAGCCGAGTCGGGAAAAGTCGAATCGGCGGAAATCGGCAGGCTAGTCTGCCCTCGCCATTTGGCGCCGCCGCAGCTGCATGCCTCCTACTTGCCTCCTTCGCGCCACCCCTGTGCGGGTCGCCTGCGACGTCTGCACGGTTTCTCGCATTCTGGGTTCCCACGCATGCTTCCACACGTGCACGGCTTCGGCCTCTTCTTCTGCATCCGTCCACCGCTTGTCGGTTGGCATTCCCCCAGTACACGTTCGGTGGTAATCAGCTTACCGCGTCCCGCTTCTGCCCGTTGTGTTGGACCAACTGGCCGCGAGCACACAAACAATTGTGTGTACGCTCCCCTGGCCACGCCAAGAAGGCACGTGAGCCGATCCTGGGCCCAGGATGGGCCTGACCAAGATTGGAGCGCACTTCCTCCCATCTCCCCGCCGCCCCCTCCCGTCGGTGGATAAGCGATTGCTGCAGAGAGGGAGAGAGAGAGAGAGAGAGAGAGAAAGAGGAACAAAGACGCGAGAGACAGAGTAAGAAAGTTGATGCTCCGCGAGGAGCAACAGGCTCTTCCCGCTCAACCGCTCGAGCCTTCCCAGCCAATGTTTGCCCGGGCATTCTTGTGGACCGAACCGTCGCGTGTATTCGGTCGGCAATCCGTCGAGTGGGTGCGTCGCTTCATTCCACGGCCTGCTGCGTTGGTCAGTGGAGCAAGCTCCGTGCGTGCCTGGTTGCCCTTGGGATCCCAACCGCCGTATGCGTT